TAAATCTGTCCACACACTAAAGACTCAAAAGAATCCAGCTGAGGACCTGGACACAGCAGTATCCTCCATGAGGTCCAGCTGAAGAACTAGAACCCATGATAATGTGCCCCACAAGTCTAACTGGAGGCCTGGAACCCATACATAACGTCTCATGCAAGTCTGTTTCATGGTCTGTGTTAGGAAAGCCCCAAGGTCAGTGGTGGAAGCTAGAATGTCTGTGCCAGCTGGATGAAGGATCTGTCCCAGCAGACTGAGGGAATCTGCACTGGAGCCAGGAAGCAACACTCAAAGTAAAAACCAGAACTCCCCCAAAGTACTACAGCCATCTTCAGCAACAGCAAGGTCCTGAGCTCCTCTAATGATGAGAACAGCCAAGTTCAAATCAGGAAAGCTAGCATGACAAGCTCCTCCAGGACATTGAACAGTGTATCATCTTGCCCTTCAGAGCCAGGAAGTGATGGTCAAAGTAAGAGCCAGAGCTCCCCCAAAGTAATCCATAACCATGCTCAGCAACAATAAAGTCCCAAGCTCCTCTGACAATGAGAACAGCTGAGTTCATATAAGGAAATCCAGCACGACAAACTCCTCCAGGAGAACCAACAGCACCACTTCTCCCTCTCCAGCTCTCCTTTTTTTGTTGGTAGCAATCTTCATGTGGGCCCTCCATATCCAGCACCATGCTGATTCACTTTAGCTGGGTGTTGCATGTTGACCATCAGCTGTCAACCACATTGGAAAAGTAGCAAGGTCAGCTGTGAGGAGTTCTCTAAAGAAGATGAACTCTGAGCCTCTGGGAGGTTGAACCCAGGTTGCTTAACCTTTGAGTTCAGAACTGGAGTCTTTCATTTAAAGGTGTATTCTTTAGGTCCAGGCAGGGGTGCCAGTGGGCTGTAGGTGGAGAAGACAGAGGTAGCATTGATAGCTTGGAGATCTTGAACTGGACATTATTTTCCACTGGGTTTCTTTACAGGCACAACAGGTATATTTGAGCATTTAACGGTGTGTTGAGTTTTCTTGTGGCATGGGGTGCTGTTTTCTTGGGGGACTGTAATGGACCTGGAAAAGACAGAGAAACAGACTGTCTCAGAGAAAGGATGATGGTGACTTGGAAAAATCTGTTGTGAGTGCCTCCACAAAAATAGTGGGAGAGTTCCCAAACCTTTGTGGCAATAGCCCAAGTTATTTGGCCCTTTTTATCCTCTCTGGATCTTATGCAAAAGCAAAAAAGGGATGGCTAACAGGAGCAATTTGTAAACAGAAGAAAGCACCTTTTAAATCAAGGTAAGTGAACTAGGTGGCATCTGGATGCAGCAGCCCAAAAAGGGTGAATGGGCTGGGTACAACAGAGTGTAAAGTGATTAACAGTCTATCAGGATCTCAAACTGCTTTAGGCAGCTGAGGTGTGGCTGGAGTATGTTTGGTGGTCAGGCCTAGAGGTGAGTCTTGGCTCATACCCCTGGAAGAAGAATTTTCAGAATTTCTGGATTGCAGTTACCTGTCTCAGGCTGATGCAGGTATCATTTTCTGCTTGGGGAAAGTACAGGGTTAAATAAGACAGAGGCTGACTGGCTTGATGACAGGAATTTATGTTTGAGCTGTGCTCCCAGGCTGCAAGTTTGTGCCTGGCAGAAGGGATGAGAGACAAGCGTCCCAGTTGCCCCAAGCGTCCCAGTTCCCTTTTTGACAGAGGGAACTTTTGAAGGCAGAGAGTTCTGTCCCATCGTCTACCAGGAAAGTCACAGATTTGCCCCTGACTTTTGCAATGACCACAGGTTCTCAGGGGCCCAATTTGATAGAGCTTGGTCTATCCTGTCCATCCAGATCTGAGAGCACAAAGAGAGGTTCAGGTTGAGGTGGGCCTGTGTATTCAGGGTTTTTGTGTGTCTCACAGATAGAAGGGGCATTTATTTTTTGTGTCCACAGCCCTTGTAACTCATAGCCAGAGGTATGGTCGTCTCTCAGACTGAATTTTCTTATAGACATCAAGTGCTTTTCTTTTATCAGGTTTCTGGGTAACAGTGGTTGATAGGCTTTTTGCCTCCCTTTTGGATGTCTTTGAGAAGCACTCAACTGTGTTGTTTCTAGGCAGGTGACCATTGGAAGGGCCATGGCAACTCATTCATCAGGGCCAGGAGTCCAATTTTTTCTTAGTCAAAATGTGGAACTCAAAAGGAATTGTTGACAATCATCTCAGGTGGGCATTGGACAACACCATCTGACCAGGATAGGTGCATCTCTGGGGCAGGCCTCTGCAGGCAGTGACTGATCAAATTGGAACTGGTCCAGTTGGCTGGAAGTAGAGGAGTTGGGAGTAGGGGGTGAAACTCTTGGTGGCAACTGTGGTGGCTGATGAGGTGCCACAGCATAATTCTCAGGAAGAATGGGCCTTTTTTTTCTTTTATGTCTTTGAGTGGTTTGGTTTCATTTTTAGTTCCATAATCTCAGAAAAGCCCTTTTTTCTGTAGGCAGGGAATGTGGGTTTGGCTAATTAGTTCCCAGCTCTGACTTCCTACATATATGCTGGGTAGCCTAGAACAATTACACAACAGACAAAGTGTGGGTACCCCTCAAAAAGAGACCATTCAAATGCCCACCTGGCCACACTCCTGGTGGAGACTTAGGCTCAACTTAACTAAGAAGGGTGCGAGGCCTCCATTATGCCGTATGTCAATCACCATGGAACTGCAGGTGAGGGCCCGATCAGCCACATGACCAGTGCTTCCCAGTCTTGGTGCACAGACAGAACAGCCTATTGCTTACACTGTCTGCTGTACTCACTCACGTATTCATTCAGCAGGCACTCAGAGGTTAAACTTTCCAACCTCCTTGCCTCGAGGGTGGTCCTGGCTAATGAGAGTTGATCAGACTCCCCTTCTGCTCAAGCTGAGCAGGACTAACAGACTAATTGGAGTGCCTGCAGAGATCTTACCAGAATCAAGCAGGCAGTCAGACAGACAGAATGTGTCCTTTTCCCTTTGGGGTCTGAATGGGAACCCCATGAGCAGGAAGCCTGGAATCCTCCTCCAAACCTAAGAAGACTCAAGAAATCTCAAGGCTGTACCTTTTCCTTGGGACCTGGAGAGGTCCTTGCTCCATGCACAAGGGCCATGATGAGAGACCAAAGAGGTCAACACCATCAGTCTTCCTGGCTAATGCACCAGAAGCAATGGCAAGCAGAAACACTGTAACAATACTCAAGATTTGGAGGCAGATTTATTTCATGTCAAGAGGCACTGATTGGAATCATTCGCAAAATATCAGGCCCTGAAGTCTGAGGGAGGATGGTTTTTATGGGGTTGCAAGCAAGAAGCAGAGTCCTTGGCTGTCTTTGGTTTTTACAATATTCTTCATAGTGACCAGCTATGCATCACAGTGACCAATCATTTCTAGAAGACAGCAGTAACAGGAACTGTAACAGGAACTATTACCTGGGCAACTAAGAGGCTGAGTTATAATGGCTAGGAGGCCATTTTGTTACATTTTCTTAAACAATATTTATGTTCAGGCACAGTTTAAATGACAAATATGTCAGTGACATAGTTTATACAATCAGAAATAACATTTAGCTCCTTACAAAATAAATGCTCTTTTAAAAAATCTAGACAGTTACCTAAAACTTCTTAAAGTTTTAAAAAGCTTCAAAATATAGCATTCTATATAAAACAAACAGAACTAACAACAAAGTTATATTTTTTTCTTACAGACATAATCCAAAAACTAATATAATACAATAGAAAATTCCCAGCTTATCTAATACTTCTATATTCACGCAGACTGGTTAATTGATAAAGAATATAGTGTTATTGAGCTCATGGTTTTGAACACAGTTAAAATTGATTACAATTATTGTTATTATTATTATTTTAAGTCAAGGTCTCACTATGCAGTTCAGGCTGGCATTGAATCCACGACTGAGCCCAAGCTGGCCTTGAACTCATGGCAATCTTCCTGCCACAGTCTCCCAAGTGCTGGAATTAGAGGCGTGTACCACCATGTCCGGCTTTGGTTCTTAAAAGTTAAAAGTGAATGTTTTTAGAAAATTACATTGGGATTTACGCCAGATTCAAACCTTCCCAGCTCCATACCCCAGGCTGGCCTCAAACACAGCAACCCTCCTGCCTCAGCTTCCTGAGTGATAAGATTACAGGTATTCACCACCATGCTGAGTATTTTTAATTCTTTAAATTACTACTTCCAAGTTTGTAGGCTACCTGTAGCCCATTCTATGCTACCTTCTCCATTCCAACCGTGTAATGTAGAGTGAATCCTATCATGGAAACCAGGTTCCAGTCTTGACATAATGCTACAATCTATCAATGACCTTGGCTTTGACCATAACCTATCTAAGTCTTCATTTTTCTCTATGGGGTGGAGAAGAGATAGGGAAACACTGCTATCATGCTTAAATTTAAAATTTTTATTGCAAAGTAAAATGGAAAAAATAATTCAAACTCTAGCAGAAGCATGTTAAAGGACAAAAGTGAAGGTGTGCCTCAAACTTTTGTCCCCATGGTGGAGCCGTATTATTTTGGAGTCTTTTTGGTTTGGTTCTGCTTTGTGTTTTTGAAACAGAGTCATGCTGTGTAGTTCAGCCTGGCACTGAACTCTCTCTGTAGCCCAGGCGAGCTTGAAACTTGTAGTGATCCTTTTGCCTTAGCCTCCTGAGTCCTGGGACTACAGGCATGCATTACCATGCCCATCCATTCCATATTTTTTAAAACAGAAATCCTTCTCTGATTATGTATACAATTCTGTAACTTTTTTTCTTTTGATTTAATATAGCACTTTCCTCTGACAAGTAGTATACAATGCATGAGAGCAGGGATTTTTAATTATTTCATTCACTGATAGATTCCAGTGTTCAGCATAAAGAAATGATTAATGAATCTTCACTAATGGATGAATGGACATGAACTACATTTTGCATGGAAAGTCACGTGCTGAGAATGTAGGAACCACTTAACAGTATTTTTTACAAATTAGCAAATTAACAAACAAAGTAAATAAAACCACCTCATTCTTTTTATTCAACAACTTTTTTTGAACTTTTTGGGACAGGGTCTTGCCAAGGACAGTCGTTCAGGCTAGCTCTGTAGTGCAGGATAGCCTCAAACTTGTAGCAATCCTCCTGCCTCGGCCTCCCAAGTGCTGGGATTACAGGTTCGAGACACCATGCCCAGCATCACCTAGCTTTTTTGAACCGTACCAGTATCCCCCTATTAATGTAAAATAGTCTCTTACAAGGTCCATTGCAGGGATCATCTTTGCATATACATCCTCGTTTAAAGACTGTTGTAAGATTAGGATCACTTTTGAGGCAAACCATTGATCTCACCCAAACATGTTCTGAAGACCCTTCCCAATAGAATTCGATGACATTAAAAAGGTTGTGACTGATTTTTCAGCCTGGGTGAGAACTACTGCCTGCAGGAGACTTTATAAAATGATCTCCGTCAACTGTCTTCCTTGAGAAAGCCAGTGCCCTCCCCTAACACCTAGATGCAGCCCACACAGCAAAATTCATACCTAGTCAGCCAGGAAGACTGGAAACATACAGGCCATCTCATCCCAGAGGACCAGCGTCTCCTGCAAGCACTACAGGAGCAATGGAGCCATCAGCTGGAGAGGTGCAGTGTTCAGGCAGTGCTGGGGCCACAGTGTTGATTATTCTTCATGAGTTAAGGAGGTCTCCCCAGAGGAAAAGAAACAGGCAAAAGAGTGCTAGCCTGCCGGGGACCTCAAGAGGGAGGCGAGCAGATGTGGGCACTAGTGAAGAGTCAGGCTCTTTCTGAGCTCTTCAATGGAAACATCTTTTGGGAAAGCTAACCTGCTTATTTAAGTCTTCATTCTGAAGACAGTCAGTCAGTCTCTGTTATGCAAGAGAACCAGGCGAGTGCTGGAGAGTCAGCAAAAAGCACACAGACCCAGACCCATCATCCTGAGATTTACACGGAGGGACCACTGTCTTCCACCAAGGGAACTGAAGCTGACAGTATAGAGTCCTGGGCGCCTCTGCCCTCTTCCCACCAGGAGAAATGTGCACCCAGACACTGGAGGTTCTTTTGTGAAAAACACAGTTTTGCCACAAAAGGAAAGAAAACAAAGAAAAAGAGGAAGAAAAGAGTAGAGAACAGAAGAAGTGGGAGGGGAGGGAAGAGGAGCTAGCTCCCCATGAGGACACAAGCACAATTTGGCCACAAACACAAAAGGTGATTCATGTCCCCAGGAGCTCTGTCCATGGAGCTCTGTCCACACATCTTCTGAGTGGCTTCTTCATGGAGGCAGGAGAGCTGCACAGAGGTGCTCACTCTACGAGACCCAGCATTCAAATAAGCACGAGCTCTGAGACTCAGAGGGAAGTTTTAAGATCATGGAGTCCTGCTGAACCCTTGAAGGATCACAGACCTAATGAAACTCAGTGGTCCCTTTAGGAATTTTATTCCAAAAGAAAGCCATGCGTGTATCTCAGCGTATAATTTTCCTTATTTTCAGGAGCTGCATAGATACATCACATGCCTGACTTTCCTGGAGCTCCAGAGACCTCGTATCAAGAATTCCTAGTCAGGCACATGGCATATGCCTTTGATACCAGCACTCTGGGAGACTGAGGCAGAAGGACTGAGCCAGCCTGGGCAATTTGGTGATTTATCAACAATCTGTCTCAAAATAAAATTTTTAGAAATGTTTTTAAGAGCAGGACCTTAGGTTCACACCCTAACAAAACAAAAGCTTCTTAATCTGTATAAAATTACTTTTGAGGTCTAAAGCCCATAGGTAGCAGGCTCTGCGCTGGGTAGCCACGGTGGCTAGAAAATGGAGGTAATGATGCACCTATGTTCAGGATAGGTCACAGTTGAATCCCCATGGGAGCTCATTATCTTCCGAAATTGGAACTCTTTCAGGAGGCTGTGGGTAGAACCTGCAAAACCAGTCACTTAGCTATTTTGAGAAGGACAATACCAAGGTGAATGAAGGAGCTGACATCAACAGCATGAAAAGGTAAGAAGCCAGAGGTAATCAGGCTCGCTGCCCCCTGCTGACAGAGCAGTAGTGGTCATTTGGATCCTCCACTTCATAGATGTTCTCTTCCATGGTGTAGACGTTCTCCTCAGTGACATAGACGTTCTCCTCGGTGACGTAGACGTTCTCCTCGATGGTGTAGATGTTCTCTGAGCGAATCCCTTCTGCTACTGCATTTGCGAATCCCAAGGGAGGAAGGTTGGCCAGAGTGATGAGGCTGTGAAAAAAAAAAGTGCTGCAGTTGATTGAAGCATTCTCAAATATCACACCTGTGGGACAGGGCTAAGTGAGCAGGTTTTTTTCTGAAGAGGCAGCAGACAAAGGCAGTGCCCGATCCTTGGTGGGACACCGACTGAAGGAAATCCCTAAGATAATCCCTAAGAAAATTGGAACTTATCTTCATTTTCTTAGGTATAAATACTGCATTTTTTTCTCAGAAATCACAGGCTGAAGAGTCTAGGTGAAGTGTCAAGATGCCTGTGACTTCCTTACAAGTGGTTCAGAAAAAATCACGGTCCATACAGAGAAACAGAGAAAGCCGATGTGCCGCTTCCACATGAGTTTAGGTGAAGGGTCTATTGGTCCTTGCACTGTTATTGTTCTGTTACTGTTACTGCAATTCTTCCATGGCCTTACACAATTTCACAAAAAACAAAAACGAAAAGAATGTTATAGATCTAATCAGAATTGAGTTTGAATATTGTCTTACAGTATTCTATGGCTTGGGTATATTGAGTTATTTTTTATTGTCCTTTAAGAAATTTTCCATGTGTTACACACTATTCTATATACCTAGAGGTACAGCAGTAAATGGAACACAAAAATCTCACCAATACTGCATATTAGTAAATTTGGTGTCTCAGCATCCTCATCTATAAAATGGGAATAATGAAAGCCCTATCTCATAGAGCTACTGTGAGAAATACTCATTCATTTACTAATATTGGTTTCTCCCAGGTAGGCGGCACATGTGGGTAATTGCTGTTACTTGGGAGGCTGAGTCAGTAAGATCAGAAGTTGGGGCCCAGCCTAAGCAATTTAATGAGATCCTGTCTCAAAACCAAAAAAAAAAAAAAAAAAAAAACTGAATAGGCTTGGGGTTGTAGCTCTGGTAGAGTGCTTGCCTAACAGGTATAAGGCCCAGGGAACTCAGATCTCTCTCTTTGTCTTTCTCTCTCTGTCTCTCTGTCTATCTCTGTCTCTGTCTCTCTCTATATCTATATATAATGTATATATATATATATATAATTAATGGGGACTGGGCTGCGGATACTGTCGTCAGTCAAGCAAACAAGATCCTAATTGCATAGGAGTTTACAATTTAGAGGTAGAGATAGCTATAAACTACATAATTCTACAAATGATGGATTAATGGATATCCATCAGTGTTAGCTATCAATATTATCATACTTCCATGTTTTTACTCTAATGAAGAATATTGACACTATAATTCAACATTTTGGCTTCACTTTTTTACTGCACATTATTTTGTGTCTGTAACATACCATTTTTTGTTTTGTTTTGTTTTTGAGACAGGGTCTCACTAGTCCAGGCTAGACTTAAAACTTACTATGTAGCCCAAGCTGACCTCGAATGTTTGGCAATGGTGCTGCCTCGGTCTCCAGAGTGCTGGGACCACAGGCATGTGTCACCACACCCAGCTAATATACCATATTTTACTTAGTCTAAAATGGTTCATATAAGATTGAATAGTATTTTTTCCAAAGTATATTGCATTCTCATATATCAAAAGTCAGAAAAATTTAAAATGTAGTGATTCTCTAAGCTGTGCTTGGTGCAAATGAATGTACATATAGAGCGAGACATGGAGATTAGGACCAGGACCTATCATAGATCTGTACTTCTCAGCCCTGATTCCACATTACAATCACCTCGAAGGTCAGGCTCTGTGGTACATGCCTACCTACTCAGGAAGCTGAGGATCACAAGTTCAAAGCTTCCCTGGGCAACTTAACAAGACTCTGTCTCAAAACAAAATCAAAACGTTGGAGATGTAGCTCAGTGGCCAAGCACTTGCTTAGCACATGTGAAGCCCCAGGTTCAATCCCCAGCTGCACACACACACACACACACACACACACACACACACACACACACATCACCAGGAGAGCTTTTAATAAACTGTTTGCTCTGGTCTCAACCCAGAGATTCTGATTCAGTTGTTCTGGGATTGATCCTGCACACTGCACATAAGTGCTCTGATTATTCTAATATTCAATCAGGGAGGAAATTGATTGAATTTGGCCATTAAAACTCTGAGAACAGATTCTGGGTTTTTGTTCACTTTGGTAACCTCAGTGGCCAGCCCAAACCCTGGAAAGTGGGCAGTTACTTCCCTGAAAAACAGCATTAATATAATGATAAGATGTATTTCTCATTAATAGGGATATAAATTCTATAATTTAAAAACTAAGGAAGCAACATGTTGAATTTTCATTTCAGAATTAGGCTGTTATGGTCTAGATATAGAACATTCCCCTCCCCAAGAGCTCATGTGTTAGAGGTGGGGCTTCTAGAAGGATCATGCGGGAGCCAGGGTTGAATTTGTTGTAGAACTCAGAAAAGGGCTTCCCAGGGTTGCCTGGGCAGGTGCATCTCCTTCCCCAGCTCCTCCATTCACTCTGTTTCCTGGTGTGTGAGGTGGGCAGCTTCCCCGCACCCCAGGGCCTTTTACCACGCCCTTCCTACCTTGGAGCCAGGCGACCACTCTTATTTTTTTTATTTGGTCTTTTTGAGACAGGGTCTCGCTATGCTGTTCAGGCCGGCCTTGAGCTCACTTTGTAGCCCAGGCTGGCCTCGAACTCTAAATGACCCTCCTGCCTCAGCCTCCCAAGTGCTGGAATTACAGGCATGTGCTACCACGCCCGGCTAGGAGACCACTCTTGAAAACTGAAAACACAAGTCAGATCTCCCCCCTTTAAGTTCCAGATGCAGGGTATTGTGTCTCAGCAAGGATGCAAGTGACTAAGGCCCAGGTGCAGGGATGGCGAAACTTTCAGAGTTCTCAATGATACAAACAGCCCATGTGGCACACATGTCGCAGGTTTGCTCATTGGCCTAGGGCACAAAAGAAGTACGAGTTTAAGTCCCAAAGTCCAGGTCAGAGCTTCTCAGAGAGAACATCAAAGCCTGATTAGAACAGGGGCCTCCGAGATACCGTTCTCCCCGATCCCATCCTTCTCACCTTGCATTCTGTAAGTTATTTTTCCTGTGAGAGTGCCCTAGGTAAAAGGAGAAGAGAGGTTAATTAAAGTCCTTTTACAAATAAATGAAAGATAAAGCAGGCTCACTGTAAACAAGAGGGTTTGGGGGTTTTGTCTTTTTTTAAGGAAAATATGGTGATCTGGCTAATTCTGAAATGAAAGTTCAACATGTTGCTTCCTTAGTTTTTAAATTATAGAATTTATATCCCTATTAATGAGAAATACATTTTATCACTATATTAATGCTGTTTTTCAGGGAAGTAAATGCCCACTTTCCAAGGCTTGGGCACTTTCTAATTGTGCATCTTAGTTTATTATATGCACTGTGCTAAAGAGGAATAAAGACGCATTGTTCTAATGTAACAAATATGGTGGTGCACACTCCCTGTATCTGACAGTTTTGCCTGGGGACATAAAGGTGAACTGTAAGACCTAACTTCATGAAGCTTACATTTGAGTGAGGAAGATTTTTTTAAAAAAGAAAGGAAAAAGGTGCTGGGCAAGGTGGTTCCTCCTTGTAATCCAAGCACTGGAGAGGCTAAGAGGATGGAGAGTTTGAGACCAATATGGGCAGTTTAACAAGACTTACCTTAAAATAGAAGAAGTCTCCAGTGCTAGGAGAAAGAAAAGAAAAAAGAAAGGGAGAGAGAGCAAAAGTAAGTTAGTTGGTAAGCAGAATAGGTAAGTAAACAAGAAGTGATTTCAAGTTGTGATGTGTTATGAAAGAAACCAATATCACAGTGAAGCCGACAACACAGAAGGTGGTCAGGGCATCACTCAGAGATGATCTGTAAGCTGGGTTCTGAGGGCTGAGAATAAGTCAGCTGTGTCAAGAGCCAGGGCAACAGGCGAAGAAGAGAGAATCCTTACCAAAGAGCCTGATGATCACCTTAAACAAACAACAACAAAAGCTAGAATAAGAGAGTGGCTCCAGTCTAAGAGATAAGCTGGGGCTACGTCCTATATCAGGAGTCCCCAGCCCCTAGGTGGGGTTAGCAAATCCTATAGAGCTTGTAATGATGACAAACAGCTCACTTGGCATGCATGCCACAGGTTCACCACCACAGATCTAGACCATGGACAAGTACCAGCCATGGCCTGTTAGGAGCGAGGCCACACAGCAAGGGCCGAGAGGCAGGCAGGCAAATGAAGCTTCATGTATAGCTACAGCTCTCCCAGCACCTGAATTACCACTGAGCCCTGCCTCTCGTCAGATCAGGAATGGTATTAGATTCTCATACCGCAAACCCTAGTGAGAACTGCACATGTGAGGGATCTGGTTGCAGCTCCTTATGAGATCTAATGCCTGATGGTCTGAGGTGGAGCGGAGGCAGTGACGATAGCATTGGGAAGCAGCTGTAAATACAGATTAATATCAGTAGACACGTTTGAGTGCAAAGAGGCCATAGTAAATCAGTTGCTTACAGATTTAAATTAAAATTCTATCGGTGAATGGCAAGTAACAAACTGTCTGGTGGGAGGCTTTAAGTCAGAGTCAGACGTTTATTTTAGTCTGCACATGCCTACCCATTATTCTATGCACTGCTTCTTTGATACCTTTTTCCACACTGCACACTTGCCTCGGATCACCATTTTAGTCAGCTCACAAGCTAACCCTAGTCAAAAAGATTAAAAAACTAACACGACTAAAGGCGTTCTTTGAAAAGAGGAAAACACCCAGTGATACAACAAGAGAAGACACTAAAACTGCTAAAAAATAAAATTGAATTTAAAGAAAAGGCCAAGAATTCTACTCCAATTATGAGTTCATTACAATATGAAATTCACATTATCCCAGCCTGTTTTGTATAATTTATGGTGACCAGGTACCCAACAAAGCCATGAAACCTTCAAAACTGCTGTGCCACATGGATGCCAAGGACCCTGATTTAGAAGGCATGCCCTTGGAGTTTTTCAAAAGAAATAAAAACAGAAGCAGAAACAACAGAAGTGATTATTGGAGGTCACCTGTTCACCAAATAAATCTGCACTGACAGAATCATTCTTAACGGACAACCACATCGCTAAGACTAAGCCTTTTACTGCTGGAGAAGAGCTGATCTGCCTGCTGTTCAGGACATTTTTCAGGAAACTTCAGGAGGAGCTTCACTTCAAAAGGTGACCCATGATCCTGTTTTGATCAACACCGCAATTAGATGAATTAATGAAATAGCTCAGGATTTGAGGCACCGCTGAAGAGAAGGAATGAGTCACTGTGGTCTGGAATTGATATTGAAGAGTTTATTGAGGCTGACAACAGGGCAGCAATGCTCGTTTTTGTGTGATCTCTTTCTCAGGCAGAAGTGCATGAAGCAATGTTATATGCACTTTGGTTGCCAGCCAGCCCTACAGCTTATAGAACTACTCAAGTCTTTGAATCATTACATGTCAGGAAAACCTAATTGGTCGCTTTGTGTCCATATGTACAAACAGCTGTCATGAGCTGACGGATGTCTAGTTTCACTACTTGGGTCAAAGAGAGCACTTCTGTGTTAGTCTGCACTATATCATCCATAGAGAAATGCCCGCTAGTGATGAAATGTTACATAAACTTAACACCATTTCTCAAGATACAATTAGAACGATCAAGCACACTGAAGTACATGCCCTTAACTCATCAGCTTGAGCAACTGTGTGAGGACGTAGATGTAGAGCACACACACTTCCTGTTATACACAGGACTAAGATGGCTTTCTAAATGTGGCTCACTGGCCAGAGTTTTGAATTATAAAAGTTACTCCAGGGATGTCTTTTAAAAGTCAATGTCATTGGCAGCACATTTGAGTGACACAGAATGGGTCACAAAAATTGCTTACTTATGAGATATATTCAACTTGCTCAATAAACCCAATCTGTCACTTCAGGGTAGGACAAGAACTGTGTTAAAGTCAGCAGGGAAAGTGGATGCATTCAAAGCTAACCTGGAACTCTAGGGGCAATGTGTGAATGTTGGAATTTTTGACACTTTTCAAACATGAACAGGTATTTTGAAAAAGACTGAGTTGGAGTCTTCTTTCTGCCAGTGCTGCATTATTTCCCAAAGACAAAATACCCCCAGATTGAGAAATAATGTATCTGGGACCCATTAGGTAAGTTGATTTTGTCTATGCTAGAAGAGGTTCAATTCCTTGAAATTGCAAATGACAGTGCCCTTAAGAGCATATCTGAGCTGGGCATGGTGGCCCACATCTACAATCCCAGCAGTGGGGAAGTTGAGGCAGGAGAATCACCACAAGTTCAAGGCCAGCCTGGGCTACAGAACTGAGTTCAAGGCAGGCCTACTACATAAGCAAAAACTCTGTCTCAAAAAAAAAAAACAAAACAAACAAACAAAAAAAAAAACTGTGTTTAAAACAACTTCAAATCTCTATACATTTGAGATTAAATTGAAATTGGAATCTCCTGAGATTGCCATGAAAGCACTGAAAAGCCTGCTCCCATTTCTAACGTCGTATCTGTGTGCTTGAAATTTTTTTCCCATTTTTTTTTCAGTACCAGGAATCAAACTCATGACCTTGCACTTGCTAGGCAGGTGCTGTGCCACTGAGCTAAATCCCCAGTCCCCATCCTATCTGTGTGAAGCAGGGTTTTCTGTAGTGACAGCAACCAAAATGAGATTGTGGAGCAGACTGGACATAAATGACACACAGGTGTCACAGTTCCCATTTCCTCCTCCTGCGACTATCTAGGTGCAGAAAATCAAGCTTAGGGCTCCCAGTGGTTGTGCATCAGAGTGTGCTGTATAATTACCTCCTAAGTATTATAAGATAATAATGATAATAGAAAAAAAGAACTCAATAAATTCTTCAATCATCCCCAAAGCAACCTTGAGGTCCCTTGACCATGGAAAAATTGTCCTCCATGAAACTGGTGGTCCCTTATGCCCAAAAGATTGAGGATCACTGTCTTATAGGACCTTCCCAGGCATAATTAAGAGTTTGCATTTTACTCTAAACCTAAAAGAAATTGAAGGACAGAAATATGATCGCATTGAAGTTTTACTTTCACTTTGGCTGCTGAATGGAGAACAGATTAGAAACAGAAACACAGAAACAAGGAGGTAAATAAAGATGACAGTGCCTTGGAGAAAGATGCAGAATAATGAAGGAATTCCAGATATATTTTATTTTATTTGTTTTGAGACATGGTCTCACTATGTAGTTCAGGTTGGCTTTGACTTAACTATGTAGCCCAGGCTGGCCTCAAACTCACAGTGATCCTTCTGTCTCAGCCTTCTGAAAGCTGGGGCTACAGGCATGCCTCAGCATGCCTGGCCAGATTTGAGATATATTTTAGAGAAAGATTACAGGAATTGAAGTCAGAACGTGAACTAAGAGGAAGGAAAGAGAAAATTCAAGGATGACTTCTGCATTTCTTGCTTAAGGGATCAGGTAGACAGCGGTGAAATTATGAAGGAGAGGACTGCAGAGGGAGAGGTTGGACTGTAGGAAGGTGGAATATAGCACTGGGAGCTTCGGGCTGGGCATGTTAAACGTGTTAGACATCAAAGCACAGCTATCATTTGGGAAGTTGGACAAACAGCACCAGTACATAAAATGTTGGAGAAAGAGAAATGACATAGAAGTCCATGAAAGTGTATGTCATAATTTAGAGGGTTAAAAGACAGGAAAAGGCCCAGTGCTAAGGAATCTCAACATCTAAAGCTCAGGCAGAGGAGGCAACAGCTAAGGAGCTGAAAAGGATTTGCCAGTCAAGTAGGACAACAGTGTTTCAGAAGCCAAAAGAAAGAAGACTTGCTTGGATCGGGGAGTAAGGGCTCTCAAAGTGGGAGAACACTTCAAAATGGAGAGATCAGCTGCACTGAAGATAGTATCAGAGAGAGTTAGCAAAATGCAGGGCAGAGGTGAGCTCAACCAAAACTATTCAAATGGTTCTGGTGTTTCAAGAACAGAAGCAAGAGGCTGGAGGGCCAAAGTACAGAGGGAATGAGCAGAATGAGCAGTTCTCACTTTGAGAACTGCAGCTGGCAAGGAGAGTGAGACATGGGAGCCGCTGGACAGGAATCTGTGGATTAATAAAAATAGCAAAAATACCAAAGAAGAGATAGATGATTCAGATGAAAAGGATTAAAGGGGGGATGAACCCTTGCCAAAGTCAAAAGGTTTTTGCTATGTCATCAGTTGGAAGAGGGGTGAGGAGATTTTGCGTAGCAATGAGGTATGGAACGTCATCTCGGGGAGTGACTATAAGAAGGAATTGTTGGCCATCATTAAGCCAGTTTGTGGCTGTGAGATTATGGCTTAAAAACCTACCACCTTGCTTGTGAGGTTTTCTCCAGTAACTTCCAGGGAAAAGTGACAAATGAAACAGGACTTTCCGATTTGCTCTTCTAATTAGCCATTGGGAATGACACACTACAGTTGACCCTTTGTATCCAGAACCCCTCCAAGATACCTAGCGTGCCCAAGTTCCTTCTAAAAAATGCCATTTGCGTATAACCTAAATGCATGCATCCGGGCACTTTAAATCACCTCTAAATTACTTATAATACCGAATACAATGTAAATGCTATATATAAATAATTGTTATATTGTAGTTAGGAAGTAATAAGGAAAAAAGTATAGTTTCATCTGCAACTATTTTTGATCTGAGGTTGTATAAATCCATGGAAATCCTTGGAAATCCTTGAAAGCCATGGGTCCAGAGGGTTCATGTACAGGTACATGAGCAAAACGTCAGCTTTTTCCCATTCCCAATTACCTGTTCCACAAGCTCTAACAGACCCTAACTTTTTAATCTCAAAAATATATCTTACTTTCATGTGATCAGTTCCCAAACTTTACTTCTACCTCTGGGTAAGCGCAGGTAAGTATGGATGGGGTCGTTTATTTCTCTGAACAAGGCACTTACCAATAACGGCAGAAAAGATAATGAGGAGGAGGAGAGTAGCCCTTCTTTCAACTGCTATATCCATCAATTAAGTGTGCCAATGTGGGCAAGGTAGTTAAGCTTCCAGTATCCTGATTCTCCATTAGAATGATATCCCATGTGTCACATAGGTTCACTATGAGGATTTAATCTGCTGAAAGTACTTGGCAACTTCAGGCAACAGGAAAGGTGAGCCACCTACCCCGAGTGCTCTCAGACTGTCCCAGTTTTGCCACTGGAAGTCCCACGTCTTAGGAATCCCCTTCAGTCCTGGTAAAGCTGGGATGCCTGGCTATACTACACAGAGTCTATGACTTAAGAAAGTCCATGTATAAAAAAAAAATGTTATAATGTATTAAACTGTGAAGTATAAAGCCTTGACCTCTTCTCTGAGAGTTGAAAGCATAAATCACAATTATAAAAGGATGTGAGAGGTCTAGGGAGATGGGAATGCTTGGGTCTTGAGTGCCACTATGGCTTCCTGGTATGATCATCAAATGTGAATACACTTTTTTTTTTTTTTTGGTTTTTCTCCGGTACCAGGAACCGAACTCACGACCTTGTGCTTGCTGGGCAAGCGCTTTTGCCGCTGAGCTAAGTCCCCAGCCCCTATATGTGAATACACTTTAAACATGCTGTACAGTGTATGTCAATTACACTTTAAATAATCAATTATTAATTATACTTTAAATGTTTTTATTTTAAAAGTAACAGTAAAAACTGTGTATACCAAGTGTTTTGATACAGGGAACAAATTCTGTGGCCTTGGTCACAATTCATTATTACGGAAGTGGGTAGTTTTTGTGGAATGTGTTTCCTATTAAACCTAGGCATATTCATAAATTTAAAAGATGAGTTTTCTTAACCAACTATATGGAGAACCGCTACTGGAATCTGTATGCTGGGATTTCAATGCCAGCTTTGCCATTTGTTGATTCTGAAGCCTTAGAAAAGTGTCTGGCTCTCTCTGAGCTTTAATTTCCTCTCATAATATGGGGATAATAATAGTACCTGTCCTTTATCATGGTGATGATAATAAAATGTATGCAAAACATTTAGCACAGCGCCTGTCTGACGGAGGGAATCACTGATTATTAGGTATTATTGGTGTGAGGGTGTAGAGGCACAAATGGGTATTCAGTTAATTAGCTTAAGGTATGATTATAAAGTGAAATTTCTATCTAGGATTGCACTGGTTCCTATTGTAACAGTTCCAGAGAAAGAGAGAGAGAAGCAATGTACAATGACTTACACATGAGAATTAAAGCACCAAAAATAAACACAAGAGTGACACCAGCAGAGACTCCTGCTCCAATGTAGACATCTATTCTGGTGGTTGCTCCAGAAGCTTGGAATTCCTTAGCCAGTATGAACGTTTGCTGTGGAAACACAAATTGAATTCAAGCTGTGAGTGTCCAGGAAAACCAGTAGTGCCCTCAGCCAGTCTTATACCATGTAAACTGGACCATCCACTTCACAGTATCACAGCACTGCATGGCCCTGAAGCCCTCAATCTGTACCCTTCTAGACTAAACTCAAACCACCATAGAAATGGGTCAGCTCCACCTTGGGAGTTAACAAAGACATAGAATCTCTCCTTCTGTGCTGTGGGTACAGAGAAAGCTCTTTGTAAAGGGACTCCTCCCCATATCCCCTTCTTAGAATGGAGAGTGAAGTCCTGTTCATTTAATATCCCTCTATTCCTCAGGGCATTTCAGAGTGGTTTACATTTGAGGTCTTGCCATGAACCCCTGTTTTATTCTTTCCTAACATCTCTCTGTAAGTTCACTCTTTAAATTATTTGAGGGGCTGGGGATTTAGCTCAGCGGCAAAAGCGCCTGCCTGGCAAGCGCAAGGTCCTGAGTTCGGTTCCCGGTACAGGAGAAAAACCAAAAAAAAAAAATAAATAAATTATTTGTACTTTGGGACTCAGAGCAATCATGCAATATTTAGCCTTCCATTTGACTTATTTAGTATTACAGTCTCATGATCTATCCATTTTCCTACAAATGACTCAACTGTATTCTTATTTATGGCTGAGCAGTAGTTCATATATAAAACACATTTTCTTTACCCATTCATCAGTTGATAGGCAGCAGGCCTGTTTGGCTGCAAAGCCCTGCCTCTTAATCACTGCCTTTCTATGAAAAGTGATTTAAGAGCCAGAGTTCTGCAGCCAGACAATCCTGAGTTCAAATCCCCCTTCAAGGCTTGAGCTCAGGGATGCAGTAGAGTTATTGGGAAATAATGTCACAAAGAGATAAAATTCTTAGCACTTAGTGTGATACATGTTTTCTGCCCACTCAGTGGTGCCAATTATTGTCATTTCTCTAATTAATATGATTTTTGATAACTGAGAGTTACATCACAAAGCTTTTCAGAATTTCAGTCCCTTAAAAAACAAGAACAGTAAACACTTTCAAAACAAAGAAGAAAGTTAAATTTTCCATTTATTTCATACTCATTGCACTTTCACTGAGTCCACATCACTCCTGCAGCAGCAGGAGCCACACGCAAGACACTGGGTATGAGGCACAGTGGTACGCAGAGGTAACTTAACAGGCGTGCTCCGTCACAGCGAGGGCGGCACACAAGCAAGAGGCTGAGCACCCGCTGTGAATACAAAAGTAGGAGACGTGGACGAGTGTGTGTAGACTCCTACAGAGGACCTCAAGGAAGTTTAGTCATTGCTGCAACTTCGTGGGTTTTCTTTTGCTCTCAGCAAATGTGGGACACTAAGTTTGTGGTAAAATGAACTATTACTTCACAGTTAAAGGTATACATCTTGGCTTTGAACATCCCTCTTGATGTCTTGTCATATGTAAGTAAACTTATACAAACAAACAACTGTTCTCATTAGGAATGCAATGGAAGCAAGAGGGGAAACCCCTACTCTAAGAAGGAGAAGGAGTCCCTGACTGGTGCTCAGTTGCATTCAGCTGTGAGATTTGAGACGAGGAACAAGAGGCTGATGCTTCTTTTTGGTTTCCCAGCATGTGCCAGGCACTCTGCGCTCACACCTTCATCCCATGCTGCCACTTGTCTACGTGGTAGAACCATCATCAGCATGTTACAGCTATGGATCTGAAGGCAAGGGAGGTTAGGGTTTTTTCTCCAAGGAAAGGGTGGGCATGAAGGAAATTTAATGCCAAGCTTTCTTTGCTTTGAGTTGAGCATGATGTTAAGCACAAAAATACTTACTGTTTGATTTTTCCTGTGGTGAATCCCCAGGGTCTGTGTCTCTGACACAAGACAAACACACAAACACACACAAACACACACATATACACACAAAGGGAAAATAGGAAATGGTTAAGAATTATTTTAAAAATCTGAGTTCAAGTAAAGACTGAAAGGTATCTATAATGCCATTTAAAACTAATTCTCCATACTCCTAACAATAATTGAGAGATCGATAAAATTCACTGAATGCTTAACAATCAACTTCAAGATGACTACATTTTTCTCCTAGATAATGAGTCATACTACCTATATTTTATGAAACAGAGACTTTTGTCAGTGAGAAGTTTGTATTGTCCTTGGGGTCCTGAAGAGTTCTATTATAATCCAGTAAAATGATTAACTCAGCCCTTATATTCTAATCAGACTTTGAAAGACAACAGCAATTAATTTTCCTGAAAGAGTTTAGTATTTACTCAGTAGGAGGAAGACAGGGTATTCGATTGCCTTCATAGAAAAATGATATCATAGCTACAGTTTATCAGGCACCAGGCACTTTACCAAGTTCTTTTCATGAATGAAATATCTCATTTATCATTCAATAGAGCTGTCTTAAAGTGGGACTGGTAGTCCTCTAGACAGGTGATGAAACTCAAAATTCAGGGTGTGACTTACCCAAGGTCACACAGTTTACTGAGTGATAGAAATGGCCCCCAACTAACAGGCACATGGCTTTGCACACACATTCTGACCAACACAGCCTGAGCACTCTTCCCTTTGGCACTGCCACCACTGTGAGGAGGGGCACAGTGCTTAGCTGCCACTCAGCAGCTTTCCCAGTGTGCATTTGTCTACTGCTTCACCTGCTTGTTTAGTGAATGAGTAGGTACTGCTCTGCACCAGGTACCGGACAGCGAGCAAGATGCCCACAGGCCCCAATCTCAGGACTCTGAGATACACTGCATTCTGAAAACCACTCCCATAGACTGCTACCTTTGGGAAGACCAAGCCGACCTACTCATCTTCATGGCTGAGTCACACACTATGAAATGTCATGGTCACCTTGTCAAAGCCTTAAAGTCTAAACCTTTTAAAGTGTATAAAAAGTTTACCAGATTATAGTTTAATAGACTATGGTATAAATATTATAAAATCATAGGCTCAGCCTAAAATTATTTAAGAAAAAAGTAAAAGAAATTATGTTTCACTTAGCTTTGCTCTTGGTACATAAAAGGGAATTTGAGTATAAAAACCACAGTGGTGGAACTACTAAGTAAACATGAATCTTAACCACACACAGGTTTTCAAATGAAAATTCATTCTCTGCTTCCGTATAGTTATTATTACTGTTGGACTAAATGGTAAGACTGACTTTTGTTTCTTTTTCTTTTTCTTTGTTTATGTGTGTGCTAAGAGTTGAACTCAGGGTTTTTTGCCCTGAATATATCCCCAGACCATTCATTCATTCATTCATTTGCGACATGGTCTTGCTCAATTGCTCAGGCTGGGTTCAAACTTAGGATCCTTCTGTTCAGCCTTCCAGAGTGCTAGGAGTACAGGTGTGCAACTGACTGTTTGAAAATGATCAGTAAAAGAGCACTGTTGCATCATCATAGCTTTCTTCACACAGATTTTGCCATCCGCCAAGACAATAGGACAGCTAGATGAAGTTGCAGAAAACACCAGAAAACCTGACATGGTGGGGTGGAGGTGGCAGTGGGGTGGATGAGAGCATCTTAAAAGTATGTAAGTGCATCTTAGATGCAACTATGATGCAGGAGACAGCATGCTTAGTGCTGTTATCCATGACTGCATTTAATGCTCATGACAATAGGTACATACCCTTATTTCTCCCATTCTTTTACATGAAGAAATGAAGTCTCAGAGAGGTACTTTAACCATGATCACAAAGCTTTCACAAAATTGAGAAAGTTATATTCAAGTTAGGTCCCACCTCCTTCAGGAAGAAGAGATAATGATTTGTTCTATATTCAGTGTGGGTTAAGGAAATCCACGGTCCTTGGAAATCACTTTTTAACGCTCTATTCCATCTTACATCAAACATACTAAATGCAAGTGCATTCCCATTAAACAGAAGGTGTGCACAGCTGCATAAGAGTTGACTCACCGATGGTTAACATAATGTTATATGTTACAGATAAGCCATCCATTAAACATGTTTCATTTTCAAGTTTGAAATAAATATCTATTTGAAGCCATTACCTTTTGTTTGTTTGTTTATTGAGCTATTTTCTCAGATAGACTCTTGAAAGGCTCAGAGATTCTACCTAGGTAATATACCAGTGTCCTCTGATGTAAGAGATGGTCCCATTTTCTTGCTCTAGGAGGAAGTAACTAATAATCAAAAATGAAAGGGAAGGCGACTTCTGTTCATGATTCAGGCAAGAACAAAGGAACGCACTGCCCTGTGGGGAAGTGAACTCCCCACCCGCTGTCTGCCTGCCTGTGTGACACACTGTCAATGCTGACTCAGGGGTGCTGCTGTGAAGGGCACTGGAGCACAGGGACGAGATGTGCCCCGACCCCACCCGAGTCTATGCTGCTAAGTTCTTTACTATAAAACAGTGGTGCACTATAACATCCGGTATGGCCAGATGAACCTACCTGTGGGCGATCATCTGTTCCCACCATGCTTCATTTCCTCACTAATCACATGAGAAATGGTAGCTACCATCACTAGAGAATCAAAACTTTAGAGAAGTGAAGTTCACAACTGTAATATTAGCAACTAATATCTGAGTGACATATATGGACCAAGTGCCATGCTGACACTTCCTATACATGGTTATATTTCATTTTCACAACTTTATAAAATAGGCACTGGAACTGCCCTCACTGTGCAGATAAAGACCTGAGGTCCCGGAAGGTGGAGCAACTTTACTGAGTTCCCAAAGCTAGAGAGAATTACTTTTCTCACCTTTGTAGCTGTCACTGAAGTACATGACCATGATCTGATTGTGCTTTCTGAACTTACAAAATCCATGACAACAGCTAAGCTATAGTGAGTGCATGCTATGATCAGACACCGGGCTGCGTGTTTTAGTTATACTTTCCTATTGGAATCTGATAAGGTTTGATTTACAAGATTGATGACTTTGTGTGGCAGGAATTACCTATTTTATCTCATTTTAGAGAAAGAAGAGCTCTGTAGAATTTCAGTGAAATACTAGGATTCTGACCAGAAATAATGGAAGATTAACTTCCTGGGTTAATATGACTCTTTGCATCCTATCTTCTCTTCTGGGGCACACTGGGAAAGTACTCCATGAATTACATGAAGAATTTAGCTTTCCTTCAGAGGCTGGAATCTGAGAAAGCTGGTGGGCATTATTTCAGCTAAAAAGGAACCTTATAACCTCCTAAGCCAACCCATTAGTCCCTGAACATGGACTTGGGCAAGTTCTTAAAAAAGCATCACCAGTGGAAGAGTTCATCAGAATAATGAGAACAATGTGACGAGCTGTCCCACTAGATCAAATTAACTTAATATTTTAGTAACATAAAAGAATAATTTCTTATGAAACACTTAAAGGTCAAAATTTAAGTAAAATAAAGTCTAATATACTGTCTTTTTACATACAATGATGGCAGCATTAAACATTTTTTATGTTTTCTTTGGCAAAATGCATAGCTCACCAAAATTCTTTCTGTGGAAGATGGAAAATGTTACTGGGTTATGAAATTCAAAAGTCTCTAACCCTATTCCTTAGACAGTAGAGGGAGCTGAGATCCAGAGAAGAGAAAGACCCAGGTCTCATGGCTAGTTTGTGGCTAATCTGGAATTCTAACCCAGGTTGCCTTTTCTTTCAGCACAGCTGCGTCTCCACCCTCCCTCACCTTGAAGCCCATTTTAGATACACAGTGGCAGTTCATTCCTCTACTCTTAAACTATTCTATCACCTTTTTTCATCTTCTAAACCCTCTGAATACAGACACCAGCCAAAGGCTTCCTCCTATGCTCTATGACTTACCTGAGCCATTTCCTTCAGTCGTAAGCATCCTCGGAAGGGCAGCAGTCCAGTCTCTCTGTGCAGTCGGAGCAGGAGTGACCTTCACTAATGTCAGAAACCAACATTAAGGATGAGGCTCCCTTGAGAACAAGGAGTTTGCTTCAGGGAATCAAAGGGGCAGTGGGAAAATTATGAAACACAATAAATGAAGAGAAACACATCCTCAGCTTCTAAACCTTCCTGCATGGCACCTTCACTGAAGATCTACTAAACACTACAGATGCAGTCATCATTTTTACAACCTAATTAATAACAGAACTGACAGCCATTCACGTGGCTATACCAAAAGGTTTGCATTAAATATTATCTCATGAAGCCCTTCCAGTGTCCTGTGGTTGGTACTATCATATTTTAAGGTGCTGGAGGTCACAGAGTTTAAATAACTTGCCCATGATCACACAATTGGTAAGAGGCAGAGTTGGCTTTGAATTTGGCCTCAACTGGCAACAACGTACATGCTCTGTAACTTTAAAATATTCAAGAACACGCACTCTCCCAATACACATGCACCAGCCAGTGAGTCATAGGCCCGGCTGTGCCTGGGTTAAATTTTGTAAAATGCGAATGCTCAGCTTCATCTCCAGAGATGCTGATTTGTGAGTGGTGACTAAGCATATGTAGTCGTTAAGAAAAAAAAAAAAAAAAAACCTCTCCAGGTGATCCTAAAAGCCACCAGTCTAGGCCTTTCTTCCTATTCTGTTGATCCCGTCAAGTTTCAAAATGTATGGAGGGTATTACACCTCACTAGGCATCATGGATACGGCTTTCGGGCCCACCCCAGGACTGTAATTAGGGAGGGCAGAGGTGAAAAAGATCAGGGTGTTTCATATAATCAACAGGTGAATCTTATGCACAAAGAAGGCACTGGAAGGTCTACCCACATGGTATGATAACCAACTCTTTGTTGAATTTGCCATCATTCATTGGGCCTGGGTACTGGACCCGGCAGCAGTAGGTTCCACTGTCATCAAGAGTCACATTCACTATAGTCAGGGACACATCTCCTTTGGAGAAGTCTCTCTGCAGCATGTATCTACTGGATATCCTAAATGTCACATCCCTTTCATCAGTTCTGAGCACCACGTTCCAACAGTCTAACACAGGACAGGCTCCCTTGCCCCAGCACACAGGCACAAGATGCCCCGGGGTGGGCAGGCGGTATGTGCAGGGCAGCTGGGCATCCTGGCCCAACTCCACTACGTGCGCCTCTTCCGAAGACCCTGGAGAGGGAAAGAGAGAAAGACCACAAAGTGAGCACATATCAGGACGACTGTAAGGAATGCTTTACAGAATAAGGACGAAATCACTGCTGGTGTCCTGTCTGAAGGATGAGTGATCATGTCAATGACTTTCAGATGTAAGAGGCATAGGCACTATCAGTCTGGGGTGCAGCCATAAACCTTGTATTTCTAACAGTTCCCAGGGTTAAAGGTCCTGGCCCCTCACTCTGAAAACCGTTGTCCTAGGAGAAAGGTGTGGAGTAGTTCTATAAACATCAGAGGACACAGCTGACAGGAACTGCCAATAAGAAAAGGTGATTGTCAACCAAAAACATTTTACATCCATCATCAGAGGAGGGCTATTCTAATGTAAATGTCCCTCTCTCTGAAGCACCAGGAAGCTGGGCATGGTGGCACATCCCTGTATTCCCAGAACCCCAGAATCCTGAGATAAAAGAACTGCAAATTTGAGCCCAGCCTGGGCAACTAGCAACTTAGTGTTTTGGGGTTTTTTCATGTGTGTATGGTTGGTTGGGTGGTTGGTTAGTTTTGAGACAAGATCTTGTTATATAGCTCAGGCTGGTCTTGAATTCATGGTATCCTCTTGCCTCAGCCTTCCTGAGTGGTGGAATTATAGGCATGTGCCACCACACTCAGCAATTTAGTGATTTAGGAAGATTCATTTTCAAAATAAAGACTCACTGAGAAGGCCCTGTGTTCAATTCCCAGAACCTCAACAAAGGACAGAGACACACACACAGAGACAGAGACAGACAGACAGACAGAGACAGACAAAGACAGAGACAGAGAGAAGAAAAGAATGCATAAGAGGGAAAAAGTAAAGAAAAGCCTGAAAATCCTTGGCCAAATAAGAAGTTTGTGTATCTGAAACCACTCACAAGTTGTTTTGAAGTTTCAAATTTCTTTCTTTCTTTCTTTCTCTATTTTTTGGCTTTTTTCCGGTACCAGGAATCAAACTCAGGACCTCACGCTTGCCAGGCAGGCGTTGTGCGGCTGAGCTAAATCCCCAGCCCCTCAAATTAATTTCTTTAGAGCACATACAAATACACACAGACCTACCTGGTGAAACAAACAGTAAAGAAGGTGTATAAAAAGTCTGACTTCCTCTCCAAATCTTCCCATTTCCCAGCTCCCCTTCCTAGAATCTGCATGTTAGGAAATGTCTGCATATTCCTTCTCCCTTACAATGCACACACACACAGAGAGGTCCGATGTACACATTGTTCTGTTCCCTGATGCTTTTCCATAGCCTTATAACTTACAGGCATTCTGCATCAGCACGCTCAGCCAAGCTCCCTGTTTGTATCTTGGATTTGCCACATTTATTTACCTACTTCCTAGTGGGGGACATTTCGGCTGCTTCCCAACCTGCGCTACTGCAAGCACAGACGTGACCATCTCTGCGTTGCTCTCTTGTGCTCTGTACCCCACCATTCTCCAGCTGTAAACGTCCATGCCCACCCACACTTACTTGTAAGCAGAAGTAGCAACAGCAGCAGGACACACTCAAAAGAAAGACGTGAAAACATGGGTTCTTCGGAGGAAGACTCCAAGGACGACTGCGCAAGCACAGTGTAACTCTCGAGCTGAGCTGGAGAGTTCCAACTAATCGCTTCACCACAATCATATGAGTGGTAGCCACTCCCACTGAGCACCAGCCCACGCAGCACACTGTCTGACCACCAGCAATTTCTCTATTAATACTGTTAAGTCTACACTGACAAGGAAGCCCCAGTCTTTGTCACCACACATATCCTGTGACCATTCTGATGTTAACGCTGTTACACAGACAAAGAGGAAGCAATACTAACTGCTGCGGAAGAAAAGTGTTAGTCATGGCAAAGAGAGAGACCCCTCTAAAATTGCAGATAAGACAGGACTTAAGTGGACCACATGCATGTCTGGCTGTTTGTAAGAGAATATAAAATTCAAATGCATCATACAGGCATCCATTTAGTCAAGTCTGTCCTGCCCAATATTCACGAGGTCTCTGCTTTGTGGCTGGCACTAGACCACTTACTGGAGAATAGAACAGTGAATGGTATGGTCTTTATCCTCACATTTATGGACCATTTCCACTCCAGTCACAACCCGAGTTCTTATCTTTGCTCTAGCCCACATTGGGCTGTGTCCTATAATCTTGCCAGATCTGAGTTTTCTCATTTGCAGAATCTACAAAATGGGGAAATTGTGTTAGTTAATATATGCACAGCTCCATGCTCTAACATTCTGACTTTGACCTTCACACTTTCAAACTCTTCCGTTTAGGAAAGGTGTGTCCCTTACTGAAAGGCCTCTTTTCTCCTATATTGGCTGTAACTCCATACTCAGTATTCTGTTTCATATACAAGATGTCTCCTGTCTCCTTACCTGAGGGAGATTTAGGCAAGAATTGCCATGAAGTATGGAGTTCTAGCCACACCATTCATTATGGAGGTAACATGTCAGACGCAAATACTCTCAGTCCTGGGAGAGCAACTGTTATCTAAATACTTTAAAAACCAAAGCTTCTTTGCAAAAGGGAAGTGAGCTCAGCTGACCAACTAAGTGGTTTTTGGAAAGAAAAAATAAAAGGCTCCCTCTATGTCTTGAATTCTTGAGTTTCCTTGTCAACTTTATATCATTAAATGTGCTTAAGGTAAATAAATATCCAGTTTCTTCAACATATGTACTTCCACAGCATCATAGATCAGCAGTTACTCAAAAGATCATGGTTAATTTTCTTATTTTACAGACAAGGAAAATGAAACTCAGGAAGATGGATTTGTCCAAAGGTATATGATTGGTAATTTAGAATAAGAATACAAGTCTACTAAACTCCAGACATTTTCCCACTGCAAACTATGTTGCATGAATCTAATATTTGTCCTCAATACATCTGGCCATAGAGCTAGTAACAACTAGTAAATGCTCATATTCAAGTGTAAGGTGGAGTGGATGAAAGATGGATTAGTGGTTATATTTACTCTGCACATGACCTTAGGCAAGTCTCTTAAAAGCATTAACCTACAGTTTTTGTGTTTTGTTTTCTTTCTCATTACTATTTTCTGCCTAACTCTAGAATTGTTGCTGAGACAAGCTTTACGAAATATTCACAGTGTATTAATTTACTGTTAGTGAAATTTTTAAATCATGTTTACCTTTTCAGATTTACTTATTTTTGCAGTATTAGGGATTAAATCCAGAGCCTTGCACATGTGAGGCAAGCTTGGTAACAATGAGCACAGATTTTTGAAGTTCTAGTTTTTCTTTTATGGCACATGTATTCAGCATCATGACCCTACTATTGCATTTAGCAGTCAATAGCACAGGTACCAAAAAAAGACATTAAAGCCCATTGTTGCAATGCTTTATACTTTCCATAGAATAGAAACAAAAATAAACGGGGGCTGGGGATTTAGCTCAGCGGCAAAAAGCGCCTGCCTGGCAAGCGCAAGGTCATGAGTTCGGTTCCCGGTACCAGAGAAAAAAAAACAGAAAAAAAAAAAAAGGAAACAAAAATAAACATTATACATTCATCATAAGTATGTCCTTGAGTTATAAGTATGTCCTTTCAACCACACACATGTGTATTGTCTAAAATACACCTTCTTTGTAGCAGTGAGGCCCTGCTAGCACTGCACTTATCTAAGTTGTCTCTTGCTTATTTTTTAACAGCTAAGTAATATTTAGTTCTCTTTGTTATTATAATGAAACACCTGAGACTAGATAACTTATGGTAAAAAGAGGTTTGTCTAGCTCATACTGTTGGAGGTCTAAGGGCACTGGCTTGGCTCTGGGGAAGATCTCACAGAGGACAGCACCACCATGGTGGGAGTGTGAAGGGGGAGAGATGACACAGTGACACAGGAAGCCAAAGCTGGAGGAGGAAACTGGTTGGTTCTCTTTTGACTACACTCTCAACCATGAACTCAGGGCTCCCTGAGAACTGTCTTAATCCCCTTTAAGGGTAATGTCCCCTAGGACCTACTCAACTTCTTCTAGTACTCACCTCTTAAAGGTGTCCGCTGTCTCTGCTTTATCACACTGGGGAAGAGCTTCTACTACATGAACCACTGAAGGATGAACCTTTTCAAGCCATAGCAGGTTGTATGTTCAGAGGGCTGAGAGGACAAAGCAGCATGAAAAGCTTATACTAAAGAGCCTGTTACCACCCTTCATGTCTGTCCCATTCCTCCTACTCATACTTTCTACTTTCATAAGTCTCTGTGTTTACCCACTAGAAACACAAGAAAACAAAATATATCTTGATCTGCTTACTTAGACAAAATAGTACATCACATACACTTTTTGCTTCTTGCATTTTCCTTTTGCTATTTTGGTTGCTAAAGTATTTTAAAACAAATCATAGACATGAAATAAATCATAAACATGTTATTCCACCTGTACAGACTTTACTGTTCATCTTCTTTTAAAACAATGGATCTTGCATATCTATATCTGATACTCTGAGCAACTGCTTTGAAGATAACAATAAGTAATATAACAACAGTTGTTAATTTCCTACCATCTTGTTTTGAAATTCTGTAGTGTTTTTATAGTTTTGTGTTGTTTCATTTTTGTTTTTGTTTTTGTTCTTTTTCTCTTTAAAATAAAAAAGTAAATAACACTAACCATAATACAAAAAAATAAATAAAATAATGGAGATTTTGCTACACCACTATCACCTAAAAGAAACAAAATTAATAATGATGACCCTTTTTTTTGTCTTTTTGAGATAGAGTTTCGCTACACAGTTCAGGCTGGCCTTGAACTCACTTTGTAGCCCATGCTGGCCTTGAATTTGCAGTGATCCTCCTGCCTCAGCCTCCCACATGCTGAGATGAGAGGTGTGTGCCACCACACCCAACTCAATGATGACTTTTTGTACCTCTTATTTTGGTCCAAAATAAAATTTCCGTAATTACCTCAGATATGTTCTTATTCAGTCAGCGTGTTTAAACCCAGACCCAAATACCCTCTCAAAAAAGTCCCCGCATTGCAGTTGGTGGTTAGATCTCTAAAGTTTGTTTGATCTAAGTCAGTCTTCTTTCCAACTCCCCTGCCATTGACTGGTTATACAAACCAGTTTCCCTGTGAGATGACTCACATTCTAGGGTTTCTCTATTTCCCTGGGATGTCACTATTTTTCCCCTTCTCTTTGTATTTCCTGCCAATAAAATTTAGCTCTAGAGGTTTGTTCAGAATCAAGGTTGACATTTTTAGCAGAAATACTTCACAGCTAGTGCTGTGGACTTCATACTCCATCACAATCTTCTGATGGTCCCACACTGAGAGGTACCAGATTGGTCAGCTTCTAACTTTCTTTGCTGCCATTATATTCTGATAATCTTTCAAATTCAGCTCATATAACATGCCTTCATTCTTTATTACAGCTAGATAGATTCATTAAATGAAAATACTGGATGAAAAACACAAAAGTTTGTCTTTCCTTTTCAAATAGAAAGCCTCAGTTTCTTCACTTGGAAAAGTAATCATAAGAGAGCCATCCAAAAACCATGATTTTAAAATTTTAAGCAATGAGGTTTTTTTTTAAATGAGCCTTTGGAAATGTTTTCTGACAAAGTAGTTTTTTGTATTATAATTAATTAGTTTGTAAATTGTGTCTAGAAAGTTGTACCACACATTTTCTTAAGGGTCAGTTGTTAACCATTGGTTATAATTATGTAACATTGACTTCACAAAGATACAGGATATTGCTGTGCATTCCCCATTAAGTCATCCGTCACTTCATGGTCTCGACCTCAGATGGATGTACATTTTTTGTCTCAATCCTCTCATTTTTGCCAAGGTACTTCAATACTTTTGTCACCCCACCCCAGGTCCCAGCACTGAGGGGAATATTTGGGACAACCAGGGCTGTGGACATACATGAAGAAAATTATTTCAGGATCTTCAGAACCACATTCGCAAAGACAAATTTCTCCACTGCCATTGACCACCTCTCATAGCTTGATGTTAGTATACCCTCACATTCATTTTGGGGTGCTCATTTGAGAACAGCCTTCCCTCACAAATGAGCGGAATATTTTATTTATGTGGCAAGTGACAGAAAACCAACTAAACTGGCTTAAAAATGTAAAGTGAAAAGTCAGGGTTATTTGAGGTTTGATATAATGGCCACTAGGAAGGTCACCAAAAACTCGGTTTCTTGCTAAAGTCAACGCTCACCTGAATCCAGTGTTAGATCCTTTCTCACATGCTACATGGGGCTCCTCTTCTACACACACAGAACATACATGTGCCCACCAAGGACACCTCTTGGCATTCCCATACCCACTCCAGGTATTCACACTCCCTCAACAGCCCAACTGAGGTTGCAGACTCATTCATGAACACTCACTGGGTCCAAAAGGTCAAAAAGCATTCACTGACTTAAGCCTGAGTCACTTCCTCAAACCTCTTGTCCTGAAAGTGAGAGAAGAATGAGTACCCAAAATAAAAATGCAGTGTGAAAAGCATCAGAGCTCAAGGGGAACAAGATGCCAGCTAAACTGAGGAAGTCAGGTGACAAGCACACTTCCTGATCTTACATACGTATACATAAAGATAAAGATATATTTTTAAAGGGCTGGAGATAAAGCCCAGTGTGAAAGCCCTAGGTTCAATCCCTATAAGAAAGGCAAGAAAGAGAGAAAGGAAAAAACAGAGAATAAAACAAAGTAAGAGAAGTATGCATTGAGAAAGGAGGATGCTGGGCA